AAAAAAAAAAGAAAGGCACACATGGACAAGAACTGTACAGAAGAGGGAACAGACAGAATGCGGGTGGTCAGACACCATTTCACAGGAGGACCGAAGAAATGGGAGCTTTCTTTTTAAAAGCACGCTTGAGCCGGGCATGGTGGAGCACGACTTACATTTCTGTGCTCTGGGGTGGCAGGGGCATGTGGCTCTCTGTGAGTTCAAGGCCAGCCTGGTCTATATAACAAGCTACTGGCCAGCCAGAGCTGTATAGTGTGACCCTATCTTAAAAAAAACAAAACAAAAAACCCAAGGGGCTGGAGAGAGGACTCAAAGGTGAAGAGCACTTGCTGCTTTTGCAAAGGATCCAAATTTCATTCTCAGTACCCATGTGAAGGTTCACAACCATCTGGAATTCCAGTTTCAGAGGATGCAATGCCCACTTTGGGCCTCCTTGGGTGCCAGGAACACACATGTAGCACATATACATGCATGCAAGCACTCACATGTGTGTGCATATATATATATGTATATATGTGTATATATATGTATGTGTGTATAATATATATATATATAATGTCAAACCAAGCAATGTAAAATTGGGGATTGGGAGGGTTGTTTTCAATATATACAGAGATGCACAGGGCTTCTTGTTCCTGCAAGCAAGGGACTAAGATTGAGTAGAAGTCACAAGGAGCTAGGGTTTAGCTCAAAATTTCCCAAATACAGGATGTTTTTCTGTAGGACATGTGTAGACGGGGAGTTGACAGTCCCTGGAGGCATTCAAATGGAGGGTAGTTGACCTTGTCCTGCAGATGGGGGCTTGAACCAGAGAACCTCAGACATTAGCGAATACAGAGAGCCTATGCGTATCACCACCATCGCCTTGTGGCCTTTGACTAAATCAGCAGTAAGTTGGAGGTTAAGTCGACCATAAAGAAACATTCTCTTTGATCTCTTTGAGGGTCAAACAATACAAAGAGGATCATAAAATACCCCAGCTCTCCATCTCATCCACCTTTGATCCTGGAACTTTCTAGTGGGAGAATGCTCTAACAGGACCCTCCTTCCTTGGATTAGCCTTTCAGAAAGGTGTCCACGACTACCTTAGAAAAATCACGTGTGTCGTGGGATATTTTGATCACATTCTCACACTCCCGAGACTGCCAATAAAGTTTACTTTGAGTCAGACGACAGAGCTAGCTACTACCTGACCAAAGTTAGCCATAGAGGTTTTGGAGGACCGAGGACATATAGAGAGACACAGGAAGTAGTAGGGAGGGGCTGAAAGAAAGGCTCGGCCCTTTTTGGATGGAGGAAGGAGAGAGGGGAAGTCATCGGTTGCTTCTCTGCCACTCCTCTGATCATTCAGGTTCTTACCCAGGTACCCGACTCCCGAGTTTTTATTAATAAAGAATAATCAGATAAACGCTTCATATGTGTGAATCTGTTTGTAGGTTCATGCATGTGAGTGCAGGTGCCTGCAGAGGCCAAGGGCATTGGATCCTCCAGAAGCTCGAGTTGTCGGCCATTGCCAGCTGCCTTGTGGGGGTGATGGGTACCGAACTCAGGGCCTCTGGAAGAACAGCGTGCTGTTCTTAACCACTGAGCCGCCTTTCCAGCCCCTCCACCACCATTGCCTTGTGAACAGATGGAAGATGATGGAAATGAATGAATTTATATTTATTTTGAGAAAGGTGTCCCTCAAAGGATTAAAGCAACCCTCCTGACTCTTAACCTCCTCAGAGGTTGTCTAGGACTAGCTCATCACTACTCCCTCCTCATTTCTGGTGACTGCTTCTAGGGTTTTATGTGGTGATATATTGTGTTCCCCAAAATATTGTGCACCCTAATAAACTTATCTGGGGTCAGAGAACAGAACAGCCACTAGATACAGAGGCCAGAAAATGGTGGCACACACGCCTTTAATCCTATCACTTGGGAGGCAGAGATCCATCCAGATCTCTGTGAGTTCAAGGCCACACTGGAAACAGCCAGGCATGGTGACTCACGCCTTTCATCCCAGGAAGTGATGGCAGGAAGCAGAAAGGTATATAAGGTGTGAAAACCAGGAACTAGCGTGGTTAAGCTTTTAGGCTTTTAGCAGCAGTTCAGCTGAGATCCATTTGGATGAGGACTCAGAGGCTTCCAGTCTGAGGAAACAGGATCAGCTGAGGAACTGGTGAGGCGAGGCGGCTGTGGCTTGTTTTGCTTCTCTGATCTTCCAGCATTCACCCCAATACCTGGCCCTGGGTTTGATTTTATTAATAAGACCTGTTAAGATTCGTCCTACAGTTTTATGCATGTAGGCAAGCGCTCTCTACCACTGAACTACATACTCAGCCCAACGACTTTATTTTTAAAGCCGAGGGAAGATGCTTTCTTTGGTGCAAATTGTCTAAAGGAAATCAAATCCAACCAATTCACCCCTGACTGGACTCGTACAAAGGAGCCCCTCAGACGGTCCGAAAGTTCTAGCAATAGCTTGGCATCACTAACCCACCAGGTCTTCTCTCCTACCACCTCCCAAACATGCAGGTGAGTCATGATTCCTTGGGGACATCACGCATCTCTGTTGTTCTGCTGGAACAAAGCAAACATCATTCTCTACATGTCCTCTTTTCTCTGCTACAGCCACCTCCATCACATACACATTAAACATGGAGGGAGGTAGAGAATCGTAGCATGTCTCACTACACAGATGTCTTGTGGATTCATCAGTTAGGAAACAGAACAGCAGAAAATACCTTCTAGAAGTCTACCAGTCAGAGCCCAGTATCCAAGACAAGCAGCATCTTGTTCTCCCAACGTAAAAGTACAACTTACCATGGCGCCTAGGTTAAAAAAGGTCCCTTTGGGTTTTTGAGGCAGGGTCTCATGTAGCCCAGGCTGGCCTCAGACTCACTATCCAGCAGAAGATGACTTTGAACTTCCAATCCTCTTGTCTGTACTTCTGGACCACTGGGATTGTCAGGGCTTTGATCTCTCAGCTAAAGGGCTATTATTTGTTATTTTCATACTATTTCCTCATATAGGTCATAGATTCAATTTCAGACCCAGGGACACAGAAAGGTGCCAGGAAATCCACAGATGAAAGCAGAGGAGGACAGTGCCTATGAGTCCCCGCTCGATCAGTCGAGGAGTCTGAAACCAGAGCTGTTTCAGAGAACAGTTTGTTTTTCTATTAAACATGAAGGGGTCCATTATAAAGCACAGTGACACCCAGTGGACTAATCAGGGGTCCTTCTGTGATGGATGGTGAGGGTACTCGACCCTGCCTATTGTTGGGGGTTACCCAAATGTCCACTTACACACCAGCCACGCCAACCCATCCACAGCCTTTCCCAAGCCCTCCAACTCCAGAGCTGTACATCTGGGCGGCTTTCCACACAGCCTGCCACCGAGTCATTTTCCTCCACACGGTTCTGCTGCCAGGATGAGTCACCTTGCGACTCAGCCCCTCAGCCCCTCCACTCTGTACTTAAAAATACTCTGGGGCTGGCCGAAAAGAACCCCGCTGTGTGAGTGTGTGTGTGTGTGTGTGTGTGTGTGTGTGTGTGTGTGTGTGTGTG